TCCGGGTCCTCATTTTACCCACCTCAGAAGGATGGAAGGCTGAGTCAACCTTGAGCCGGTGAGATTTGAACAGCCGAACTGCAGAACTGCAGTCAGCTGAAGTAGCCTGCACCACCTCGGCTCCTTGCCTGCCTTGGAGCTAGTCACATAAAGCCTACTTCTGTGTAAGGGCCAGGGTTTGAAGGCCAATTTGAGTATTTCTTGCTGGTCATTCCAAGTACCATGAATATATTGTGCAGTAACTCCATAATATGCGGAGTTGTCACTTGGCATTGTGGGATACAGAGGAAAGTTTTGTGCAGAAAGGTTGCTTCACTGTATTGGTTTATCAATTTAAGCAATCCAAAGTAATCCATGAAACTGAAGTACATATATGGAAACAGAATATTAGCATCTGATAATGCTAATGATGGTTAAGGAACTAGAATGGACATTGTGATACTGTGAGTTTTAATCCCCTTGCCCTCCAATACATAAACCAAGGCAATCCGTATTCATTTCTAAATGTTACCCCTAAAAGATTTGTCATCATATAATGATATGTGGAAATGACCTCAGGAGACAAGAGAAAGAGCCACGGACTATGGACAACTATTATGTAAAAATATCTCAGTTCATAAGAGGGGAGGAGAACGTTTCAGAAGGGACCCTCCCTAGTTTTCTAGTGAATAAAAGGTAAGGAGAAAAGAAATACTTTCAGACTTACAAGATCATGCTAATAATGTAACCTTCCAATAAAGATAAGAGTTAGTATTCATAGGTGTGATTATCTGCCTACCTTAAAGGGCTAATATTAATTTCACTGATGGGTACCAGCCTGAAACCTGTGGCATAGCTGAAAGTCCATTGGAGCTCTGAATCTACTGCTGTCCATTCTTGCTTTCAATTCATTTGTCTCCTTTGCATGTGAAGTGAACACAGCAAAGTAAATAGAGCAGCCACTTTTTTCTTTACCCTGTGCTCTTATATAGGTCAGGCTTATCGAGAAGTGATGAAGAAGTATGCTTACCCAACCTGCTTAATTAAAATATCTTCCCAAAGCTCCTTTACAATCTGGATCTGAATTAATTTTTTTACAATTATTTTATACTTTAGATATAAAGTTACGAGCACATACCTTTTGATGCAAGCTTCTATCATATCACTGGCCATAAGTTTAAGTCTCTGTTCTAAGTGATGGGCAAACTCTGGTTCTGGCCAATGGAGATCTAGGATGAACATCTGTAGGGCATCCAGTTTCCAGAAGAGGTCTTCTGATGTTGCTGACCCATTACTAACAAACAAAAAAATCACTATTATACTTGAATCAGAACATTAGATAAAACATAATGCTATTTCTATATTTGTAAGCATTTCAGCCACTTGCCATAAACATGTGACCAGCACTTCTGGGATCACTATTATTTTGCTGTAATTACTGGGTAGCTTTCTCTTATACAATTTATCTGGTGTGGCTCTAACAGTTGTTGACTTCCGCTTGGAGGGAAAGGAACAATTCAGACATAAGCAGTAGAGTTATTTAATGTACTGAAGCTATTTCATTGCAGGTGTGAACTGAATAGAGCTGAGCAGGAAGAAGCAATTTTGACTTAAGACGGGGCTTTGAGATTGATAAAAAAGTGAAAGCTTGGCATTTATCTGTTACTCTGCTGATTTTTACAACTTGATGGTGATGATTACTATATCCATATCATTGCTTAATATCATTTAATTTCCACCCACAATATAACAACAGAAAGACATCAAGCAGTGTTGCTTTTAATCCCATTAATGTCCTGATTGGAGTCAAATAAAAATGGAGTCAAGAAAGAAGTCAGATCTCCATCATCATTTCTGGTCCAAGTTGAAATTCTGAAATTATTTCATATCTACAGAAATATATCCTTAACAGTAAATTAACTATTAAAAAACAAAACAAAAGCAAAGCACTAGCACTAGCACTAACACTAAGATTACAATCACAACTTGTCTGTTGTGTCCGACAGAAAATTACTATGTACGCTAGGTACCAGAATTGGGCTGATAATGATTTACAACACACTAAGGGAGAAGGATGATACCAGGCCGTTTATGATAGTTTTGTTGCTACAAATGATGCAACCAATTATTTTAAATCAGATGTTCCCCCGCTCGTGTGTGTGTGTGTGTGTGTGTGTGTGTGTGTGTGTGTTAACTCCTGATAATATTGTTACAAGCTATTTCCATAATGTGCACTGATTAGACTTGATGTCTGTCATGGTCATATATTGTTCTACCGTGAGAAATCAAATCTTAAGACTTTTGTGACTCTTCTACATAAAAAGCAACATGTGATTAATGTTGTATTAGCCTTATTTATACCTCAGATTTTATAGAATTTACTGACTGATAATTCTCTTATTATAGGCCTGGGTTCAAGTTTACCCAGTCCTTGAAAAATGAATTTATTATTCTGAAGGTCATATGTAGTAGAGGACAGAATGCACTCTGAATGCAGAATGAAATTGTGTCCTGTCTATACATTTCCAGCTTCCACAGAAGGACAAGATATGTGGAATTCTTATTAAACTTAGATACTCAGGAGCATTCAAAAGCCCTGTATGTTTTGTAATTTTCAGATACTTCTCATCACTCCCAGCACACAGGAACCAAAAAGACAAAATCACAGCTACAGAACTACAGCCTAATTAATTCTATATGAAAAATAGGAAATATGTCAGCCTTCGGCATCTATATAGTACATTTTTTGTCTGATTAAGCATCAATTTAGAAAGGAGCAGTGGATTATTTTTAATCTGAGTAAAGCTCTTAATACAGCAAAAACATTTCTACAATCATTTTATACTGGTGCTGAGATTTACATGAGGCTGTAGTTGTTCAACCCGTTGTCTGAATTTAGTATTTTTATAGTTGGGAGCAACAAAGTTTATTTTCTTTGTTTTTGACAGGTGACTATCTATGATGGTGACATGATGATAGCCATAGAAGGAGCAGGACTGAAAATGTTGGTCTTTTTTCCCCTTGCTTTGATAAAGGGGAGGGGAATATGTTTTATTATTAACAGTTAAGTGTTTTGGAAACTCATCATAACCATTTACTTTTACTTACTTAGGAATCATTAAGGAATTAAATTTGTTGCAGAATTTTGCCAGCACAATCTTAAATTGACACTAAGATTTCCCCCTCCTCCCCCCAGCAAAAAAAGCCATGAGTGCTACTTGATAACTATGGATTGTATCCTTTTTAGTCCTATGCTAAACAACCAAATTATGTGAAAGAATAAATAAAAAATAGAAGAAACTCAATATTTCTGCCCAGAATATTCCAGATGTGTTGAAATAATAGAATTAAATTTCAATCCAGTGTCTCAAATAGATGAGTTTGAAGTTAATGCCAATAAATAAGTATATTTTTTCAAATATACTTTGTGCTTGCATTAAATATAAACATTATGTTTTAAAACTGTTCATACTCCTTATAAATACTAATTTTCATGATTATTAAAGCAATACTCTGCTGCAGTGATTAAACTAAATGAGTAGTTATAAAATGTCTTTTTATAGACTTGTTTGACTTCTGTAGAACTTTTTCTCTTTCTATAGTTTTGATTTAGGATGCCCTTGAGAAAATAAATCCATTTCCAAATTATTCTAGGATCCAATAAAATCATTTTAATGACCCTTGGGACTCCTTTATTTTCATTTTCTCAGAATAGGATTGTAAGATACAAATATATGTACGAATAATTTATGTATTTAAATTGTATATATATATAGTATGTATATATGTTGTGGCCCAGCAGGAGCCGTTGGAGCTGCCGACAGACTCTGATAGCGAGGGACCCTATGAGTCGGCTTTGGAGGATGTGGAGGACCCTGGGCAGGGTTCAGACTCCGAGCAGGGACCAGAGAGGTTGGTTGGCCACCAGAAGGTCCCTGAGGCATGGACAGTGGTGAAAGCCAAAGGGAGTTTGTCCCTGATGTCAGGCCCTGAAGCAGTGAGGAGGAGCAAAGGGAGTTGGTCCTGGATGCCAGTCAGAGAAGGGCGGATAAGCGCAGGCAGCAATTAGGGAGACATAGATAATTGAGCCCAGGTGGTTGTGATTTGGCTCCTCCCAAGAGAGTATATAAGAAGAGACTTTGGGAGGAGACCTTTTGCAGGACACAACCGTTTTACTAAGCTGGAGAAGCTCTTATCTGTGGGAGTCTGGGGTGCTGCCAAAGTCTTGTCTGTGAGTAATTACTGTGAATAAAGCGTGGCTAACAGTAACCTTGTGTTGGCGTGACTCACCGTACAGAGGGGGGTCAGAATATATATATATGTATGTATGTGTGTGTGTGTGTGTGTGTATGTATGTATGTATATATATATGTATATGTATGTATGTATGTATGTATGTATGTATGTATATGTATATGTGTGTGTGTGTGTGTATATATATATACACACACATATATATATGTGTGTATACATATATATATATATATATCATACCAATATACTAATTTAACTGTGAAAGGCAAATACAAATTAGATCAGCTTTGATCTTTTAATAGAGCTTTTGATACATTTTTGAAGCAATATTTCCACTTCAAAGTTTGGCTATTTATTAACTAAGAACTCAGATTATCAAAGTGTAACTTCATGCCTTTAAGAGACTACTGATTCTGCCTAATTCCAGATCCCTGGCAACTGATTTGGTGTGATAGGTTATTAATCACTGCACTACAGTGCTCCAAATCATGCTAAATATAGCTCATAACTATAATTTTATTTGTTGGCTCATTTTTTGGACTCATTAACCCATAGGAATGTGTGTCTCCTCTTACTTCACTTGACCATTTACATTACTGATACTACAAACAAGCCTCTGATTTAGCACAGAGGTCTTATTTAGAACTGCAAAAGTGAGCACTGAATGGAAATGAAAGAGTATCTTTGAAAGAGAACTTCTCTCCTGGCTAATTATATACCCTTGCTTTCTTTCACAACACATTGTTCCAACTCCCTCCTGCCTCCAAGTGTGTTTTCCTCAGACAACTCTAATTCAGCATGCTTTTCACGTCTAGCCAAGATATCCTCTGCACTAGACTCTCAAGGGACCAATCAAAAAGAACACTGAATACTACACATAGCATTTTGCTCTCTTAATACCTCTTCCACCTTAATACACAATGGCCCAAATGTACCATTAAAGAGGTGGCCAGCAAAAACAACTGAAAACAAAGTAATTATGTTCCTGAGACTGTAATGACAGGTAAGAACACACATTTACTGCTCCTAACCATGCACAGAAGAAAAGCACTTCTGTGAATAGAAATGCCACCACAAGAGCAGTATTATAATTAATTGCTTAAAATGTGTACAAGGCTCGGTTCAGGTCTGTGTGCAGACATGTTACATAAAGAGAGGATCCAATATGATTCTGAAGAAATTAGAAAGGCTATCTACATCTGTGTCATTCCATGATAATTTTAAATCCCTGGCTTATTGATCTGAATTTTACTTTAAAAAAAAAAAAGACAAGTAATCAAACAATAAGTACTTTCTGTAAATTGTGTATTAAAAATATAAAAAAGAAGAAATCTTTGTAATTCCAAGGACTAATAGATTCATTAAGATTGAAACATACAGTACATGATAAAAGAAACTGAATATAGGCATCACTCTCTACTGAGACAATTGACAGTTTCCAGATATTAGATACTTGTGATTATACAGCAGAATCATAAGAGGCCATTTAAACAACCCAGTTTAGGAGACGCACAAAATTAAAATGTCCATTCAAGAAAGGGAAGCCACTCCCCCCCCCCCCCCCCGGAATCTCTCTGGTTTCCCTGTCAAAGTGTTATGAATATTTTGGTAACATTCTCATTTGGGAGAAATATAAAACAGAAGGTAATCTTCTCCGTAACATTACTTTATCCTTCTGAAAAATAATATTTCACCGTGTGTTGGAGCATGAGCAAACACCATTCTTAGAATCATTAAAGCAGCCATGTATTTTTCCAGTTTTTGTAGATGTTTATTACCTGTATTTATGAGCATACACAGCTAGGAAGGTGAACTGTGAAACATTTATTTTGAAGAAGTTACATATCCTTACTCTTATATCCACTTCATCTTTTCAAAGCTGAGCAGTTCCTGTTTATTCAATTTCTCTTCATGGTGCTAAGTTTTTAATCCCCTAATCATCTTCATCTTTCTCTGAACCTATTGCCATTTTTGTGATATTTAAAAACTGATACCCAAACTGGGCACAATATTTGAAATATGTTTTGCTCAAAAGCAGAATAAAATAGAATGAGATGATGAAAGGAATTAGGAGTGAACCTTGTGCCCCCCCCCCCATTAGATAACTCATTCCAATTCAATCAAAATCTCTTTCTTAACACAAACTTATAATTCAGCAAAATAAAGCTAAAAGTAAGATACATTACTTTTAGAGCAGGGGTGTCAAACTCGCAGCCCCCAGGCTGGTTGCATCACATGCTGACCCCACCACCGCCAAGTTTAGTGAAGGGGGGAAAAAGTCCCAATACATCACATGCTGCGAGAACATGAGTTTGACACCCCTGTTCTACAGCATTCCCACAATATATTAAGAAAATTATCCAACTGGGAAAAATTGTTTGTTTCCTGGATTTCTTCTTTAGGATAATGATATCATTTTTTTATTCATTCATCTCACCTTTACTCATTCTCCAGGATTTCTCAAATATGTTAATAATGTAAATTTCCATGAGTGAAATATATGTGACCCCGAAGATTTCATCTCACACAGAAGAAATATTATTCCTTATATTTTTAATCACAAGCTTGAAACCAGTTCTTCCATACTGCTCTTCATAATTGCATGACTGAACTCACACTTTTTTGTTGTAAAAGACTTAATCTTAACCAGTCAGTAGTGTGAAAAATAAGGTTTGGTACTCATGCAGAAAAGCCAAATGCATAGGTATAGAAGAGGTGGTACTTTGCTCAACAGTAGTAACTGTGAGAGGGATCTGGATGTCCTAATGGGCCACCACTTAAGTATGCCATCATGCTGCAGCTGCCAAAAAACCCAATGCAGTCGTAGGCTGAATTAACAGAAGGACTGCATCAAGATCATGAGAAGTGATAATACAGCTTTATATTGCATTAGTGAGGCCACACTTAGGATACCATGTCCAGTTTTGATTGCATGATACAAAAAAGATGTTGAGGCTCTAGAAAGAGTGCAGAGAAGAGGAACAAAGATAATAAAGGGTTGGAAGCAGGGGTGAAATCCAACAGGTTCTGACAGGTTCTGGAGAACCGGAAGCGGAAATTTTGAGGAGTTTGGAGAACCAGCAAATGTCACCTCTGGCTGGCCTAGAGTGTGATGGGAATGAAGATTTTGTAGTATCCCTCCCCTGCCACACCCACCAAGCCACGGCCACCAAACTACACATGGCTACTAAGTCATGCCCATAGAACCAGTAGTAAAAACATTTGAATTTCACCACTGGTTGGAGGGTAAACTATATTATGAACGGTTAAGGGAATGTCTGATATGTCTAGCCAAATGAAGAGACAGATTATGGGCAACATAGTTTTATTCCAGTATCTGAGGCAGACACAGAGAAGAGGGGGGTTGACTTATTCTCCAAAGCAACTGAGGGTAGGACAAGAAGCAATGGATGGAAATTCATTAAAGAGTGATCTAAACAGAAACAGGAGAAATTTCCTTACATTAAGAATTAATCAATGGAACAGTTTGCCTCCTGGGCTTGTGGGTGCTCTCTTCCTGGAGGTTTGTCTATTTCTTAGTTGGGCAGAGGAAAATCTATGCCAATAAAATTATTTCTACCATTTATTTTAATGTAAACAGTTCTTCATAATATTGCCAAATCTATTTTGGAGGTTTTTGAATATATCAAGCAACTTGTTTTCTTTTTGTACCAAAGGAGTTTTTTTCAAGAGGCAACTGGAGTTCCTTGGGTTTTTTTGAAGATGTTTCCCTTCTCATTCAAGAAGCTTTTACAGAACTGACTGAAAGGCGGGGAATGGAAGGATTTATATTCCTTGCAGATGTCTAGTCATTTGCATTCTTTTAAAAGTCATTGAAGCCACTTGAAGATTTATCTGTGCCCTCAGGATCACCTGAGTAATGCAAAAGGCTATGGAGCCTTCTTGGAACTTCTGAAAGAACTGTGTTGTAGACAGGAGAGGGATGATGTCTATCCCTCCCCTCTGTTGTGAGAGGGCTGTTCACTTTTGACATAGATAGCCTCTTTAACCCCTCTTTCAAACCAGGATCCTCTCTGTCCTCTCTGTCTGCAAGGAATAGAAATCCTTTCATTCCCCACCATCCAGTCAGAGCTGAAGAAGCTTCTTTAATGAGAAGTGAAAGTCCAATTGCCTCTTGGTTTTGGACAACCATGACCTGGATAACTGAGCATCTCCATAGACACTTGTTTTCCCTTTCTGTTTTATTTTTTTTAAAAACCCAACTTTATCCTTGAATTGCTATGTTCCGATCAGGGCTGCAATCTCACAAGATCTGCACTATAACTATGAAATCATATTGACCTTTGTGTACTAAGAATTCAGGCTCATCTTTCCAATAAATATTTCCTGTGGATATAAAAGCCATATATTAGAAGTCAATGCATATTTGCAATTTTGAATGGCTTCATTAGCTTCATTGTGGTCTTATGAAAGTCTTAGAATGAGGCAAACATCAAGCATGGCATGAGAATTTTCATTGGCATGCTGTAACTCTTGAGGCAGAGATATTTTCTAACTATTTAATCAGAGTTCAAGAAAGATACAATAATGTAAAAGAAGTTGCTTGCTTTGTAATTATGTTTACTGCTGCATAATTCACAGAATCCAGGAAGAGGAATACTGAGAGGATAGTTCAAGATGATATATAGATTGAGCACCGATTTTTTTTTTGGCAAGTTGTTTCCAAGAAGGGAAAGAGTATCAAAAATGTGCTGTAGACTACGTCTTGACTCTGCTTGATAGCAACCTCCAATGCCTCATCCTCATTAGCTGCTGATGCTATCTCAAAATTAAACAACCAGAACCAACTTCTAGATTGACTGAGACATAACTATTACTCACAGGGAGCTGATATTTTGTTGTCTCTTGAACTGCAGACTGAGAATTCACTCTTTAGTATCTGAATCAGTGGAGTCAGAGAAATCTATAACTACTAGAGGAAAATTGCAACTGCTTTCAATGCTGCCCAAATCTTTATTTCAGTTGCTTTCTTCAAGTTTTCAATAGATAGGGAAATATGGTTTTAAGACTTTACATTATCATAAGTAATACAATTACACAATTCTTACGTTCTATATTTTGCAAATATGCTTAATATCTTTAATTCAAAAGTTTATTTTTTATTTCACTTTTTAAACTTAGAACAATTATATAGGAAACAGAAATATTTGAAAGCAGAGTGTTAATATCTAATGTCATCTTCATCTAAACATAATATACTATAGATCCCATAAGTCATTCTCAGAAAATAAAAATGGGAACAGATGGAACTGTTTATTCAATGGTGTAGCCACTTTCTAAACTTTACCAGGTTGACCTTTGATAAATATTTTTGATCACCATGAAAAATAGCATAGCACTTCTGAATCAAATTGAAACATGGCAAAGGTTAAAGTCCCTCTACTTCACATTCAAGGATCCTGATCCAAATCAGCCCACCTATCTATTTATTTCAAATATTCATTTATACAATTGGTAATCTTATGAATGAAGGCTTGCTTTGTCTGGTCTTGAATTAAATATAAGAAAGCAAGAAAATGTAAAATACAGTGATCTTCACCATAATGTTCTAATCAACCATGACCTCTTCATGAGTTCATTCTGTTTTGGACATTTTGTGTACTACTGGAAGTGCTGTAATTTCTAATTTTCCTTTCCTAGGCATGAATGGTTTTGTTATAGCTACATAAACAATAGAATCATCAATTACAGGGAGTGAAACAATACACAACAGAAAAAATACTGGTACCAGTAATTATATGTAAATGTAAAATACTGATTTTTTTAAAAAAATGGTGGATACAGTACATTTAAATGACAGGTCTTAGTGAGTACAATGCTTCTGGATGCATCCAGGAAAGGTTTTTATGTTGGGATTGCCTTGTTTGAATCATACAACTGTGTAAACGTTGAGATATTTTTTTTTACCTTTTAAATAGTCATCCCTTATTTTCCACCATTTCATATTCTCTCACAAAGAAATTAGTGAAAAAAAGAAACATTATAAAAATTGGAGAATGCCCCTTGACTAGTACAAGTTTGGAAGTCTGTGGTGATACCAACAGTTTCTCTTCACATATTGCTAATTTTGTTCAGTTTACTGAATGCATTTTCCTAATCTAACATAATTGTAATGTATACAGTAATCATAAAGTTGCTCTTTAAAAATACAGAAAGCTATCTGATTCTGTTTTGTAAAAAAAAAGAGAGATGGAATCTCAGTTGGCTGCAGTTTAATTAGTTGGGAATTGAACTCTATTAATGCTGGAAGTGCCTTAATAAAAGAAGACTATAAAAGTCTTATAAAAATAATACAACCAATAGCTACTGAAATTATTTGGCACATGCAGTGGATTAGTAACAACACGCCAAAACACAAAGAGCTATTGACATTAAAAAAAACAACATACTTGAGTACAATAATTTAAAGTGCTTCCACACTGCTTATTAACTAAATAAGAGCAATTATGTAATTAAGGGGATGACTGCTAAGTGTATCACAACAAACCTTTGCCTAGTTAATTTTAAGTAATATCCTACTGAGATCTTATACACCAAAAAGCACAATCCAACGACATTCCATGCTTGGCTGTCAACCAAAAAAACTCTAATTTCCAATCCAATGATCACAAACACCATGCGGTGCAAATGCAGCTGTACAACATGACACTAGCAAGGCCATGCAGAGCTGAGACATATACAGACACTCAAAGTTCAGTCAAGAATACACACGTGGAGTCATATAAAGAAGCCATCCATGTTGGTGTAGAAAAACTAGGTATCTGTGGAAGATTAAGAGGCAAACTTGGAACTTTTGGAAGAGCTACATTGGGAAGACTGTTGGTGATGGTCCTGTGAAGAAATAAACAGTGCATGGAGACCATAAAAATAATATATAAAAACTAACGTTGAGGAGAATAGCAAACCAAAGTGAGAATAAAGATATTATAGGTGCAGTTGGTGTAGGCTTTCTAGAAACACTTACTTGACAGGCTGCCATGATTCCTGTTCAAGACCTCTGTGAAGGGACTGGGCAATGGATGATTCCATGAGATCAATGTAGCGGATGACCAAGGGAACAAAAAGCTCCTGCAAATGCTTGTGAAACTTTCCATTGCACAAAAGTGCTTGAAAAACAAAACAAAAACAGTGCAAATAGTTGTGATTACTTCTTTCACATTTATACAGGCTTAAGATAAAAAAAGGTAATGTTTCGTAAAAACTGTTATGGGTAAACTAAACATAATCAAAACTGGATTTAATGGCTAAGCACTTCTTGAAGAATGCATGTCTATGCACAGCTGAGAGAAAACAAATTCATTTCAACAAAACCTTGCTGTAAACATGAGTAGGATTATACATCTGTAGATCAATGACAGTAATAAGCTATGTTTTCAAAATAAAAAAGTCCTTAAAAAACCCCCTCCAAAACATAAAACTATCTGGAGATGAAATGTAATCCAATTCAAAAACAAATTTAAAAATGGAACATTAATTTGGAATTTGAAGATAGTTTTGAAGTGAGATGCAAATATTTAAATATTATACTTTATGTTTCTACCTAGAACATTTGTGCAGACAAAGGAAATTCAGATGTAAGTACTTAATTATTAATATATTATTAATATAATAATATATTAATCTTAATATATTATTTTCATATAGCTATATGGGTAAGTAAAGAAACACAAATATATTACAAGATCAGGGAAAAAATTGAAGAGAGGAAAAACAGCTATAGAAAGTGACTTAAAAAAAATGAAGTAGTTATTTATTTATTAAATTTATATAGCATCCCATCAAAATCTTGTGACTCTGGGTACATGCAAAAAATCCAAGAAATAATAAAATAATATTACAACATCGTCATAATCCCTGGAAACTAAAATTCAAATCAAGCCATATATGTTGGGTTCTACTAAGATGACCTCAACGATTGAAAAAAAGTCTTGTATTCGAAGCTTTTAAGAATGCTAAGTCTGCATCTTGAAGAATGCTGTTCCATAGAGCAGATGCTGCAACTTTGTGGGTTCCTTTATTTGGCATTGTTTCAGAGAAGGAACTTTCTACACCCACCATGTCAAATCTGGTGGGAAAGGCAGGTATAATTGGGGAACAGTGATTCCATAAATAATCTGGCCTTGTGGAGTTTTATAGTAACCACTAGCCCCTTGAATTGTACCCATAAACCTACTGGAGCCAGTGTAGTCCATGAAACAGAGGTATCACATGGGCATACCATGGTTCATAATATTATGAACCAGTTAAGGCTTTCAAATGCTCTTCATGGGCAGCTTATTGCGAATCCAACTGGGAAGTGGCTAAGGCAAGAGTAATTGGGAATAGAACTTCCCATTCTAAGAAGTAGAATTGGAGAACAAGATGAAGATGTGTGAAACTCTACGGGCCATCACTGCCAGTTGCTCTCTGAGTAGGACATTATGCAGTGACTATCTGAGGGAAGAACAGTCCATTCTGAGTCAAAAATGAAATATCCACAAGTTATCTCATTGTGTTATTGTACTATTGAGTCAAAGCCTGTTTTCCCCATCCAGACCTCTAGAACCTCGTGGCACTGGGAAAGAACTCTTAATGGAACCAAGACAGAAATTTACAGCTGAATATCATCAGTCTACTGACCATACATATCTTCGTTTCAATAGACTGCCTCGCTCAATAGTTCCATGTAGATGTTAAATAAAAGAGGGAGAGAATCAGGATATCAATTGTGACTGGAACCAGATCTGGAAGAGTGAGGAGAACCACCAAAAAATACTGCCTGACACATTCCAGGACCTGAACTGGTCCCAAAGAATACCATGATTGATAGTATCAAATATGTCTGAGAGATCTAGCAATTCCAGAACAGAAGCACTACCTTAGTTCTGTGCCTATCAGAGGCAATCCACAAGCACAATCAATGCACTTTTGGTATTATCACCCAGGATGAAACCTGAGTGAAAAAACTCTAGATAATCCTCTTTCTCCAGGACCTTTGAAGCTGTAAGCCTGCCACGCCACCCTCTCCATGGCTTTTCCCAAAAAGGGAAGGGAAAAGAAGGTTGGAGACCTGATGAAATTTCTCCAGGTATTTGCATCTACTAAATGCGTCTTAAGGAGAGTTAAGCCCACTTCTTCCTTCAAAGCAAATTTTCTCAGAGAAGCATTTACTGCTGCATGGGTTCAACCACATTGTATCTTAGGAGGCCTTGACAGACAGGTGAAATGTGGATCTAAAACACAGGAAGCATAATTCATAAGGGTGAAGGTTTGTTCTCAAACTTGTGGGTTGTTCTGAATGTTTCATTACCAGGCTAGGTAACATCAGTGAGCCGTGATGGGTCTTGTGATAAAAAGATTACATCAGGTCAGGCTCACTGGGAGCCCCACACCAGCAATTCACCTCCCAATGTCCCTGACCTGATGTAATCTCCTTATCAAAAGACCCATCACAAGAATCACAGCTGACCCAACACAAGACCCTCACTGGACACACCCACACCTAAAGCCCTTATAAACAGAAGAACATCTCCTAAGCTCTGCTGAAGATGTTACCTAGCCTGGTAATGAAATGTTTGAAAACCAACCTACAAGCTGGGAGAACGAACCTACATCAGAGCTACAGATATTTGCCATTATTGAACAGCACCATTCATAGCCTGAACAACCCTATCCATTTCCTCAGGACTAACAGTTTAAATCCCTCCCAGGCAAGCAAGATTATCCCTTAACTTTCTCCATAGAACCTGCATAGTTGTCTACTCTTTAAAGCAGGGCAGGTCAGAAAATAAATTCAATTTTGATTGGAACTATATTAAGGTAGTCTCTAGGAACAACATTTTGAAAAGCTATGTTTTTCCTTTCCTCTCTTTTATGTTATTATATCTCCATAGTTTCTCTAAAATCATCTCCTTGGCTCTTTATAACAGCAGAATCCAATTCCAATCAAATCCTAATAACTGCAGCTGACAGATATCTGCCTTTGAAACTTTTCATGCAATGCCACCAGAGTTCCTGCAGGGGCTCCCAATTTAAGGAGCACCGAATCACTCTAAACAAAGACTAACAGCCAGTTATCTGCATAGGAGATAATAGCAGAAAAATAATCAGTTTATTGCTTTTATCGCCATATGGCAGTCCTTAACAAAGGACTGAATCTCTGCTTAGCTAGTCCTACCCTTTGTCTTTCTCCAGCAGTGGTATCTCTTGTATAATTTCATCTCCTGGAATTATTTATTCATTTTAGAAAATTTATATTGCTGCCTACTCGCTTATGTTGACTCAAGGCAGCTTACATAAATATATTCCTCCATAAATCAGGGGCTTTCTGAAATCTATGAACACAGAAAATCCACACAGATATGATCCAGTCCAAGACCTCTGCAAACTGCTCATTCCAAATAGTTATTGGGGCTTTGGTTGAACCACACTTCAGACTTTCAGGATTAACTCAAGTTCTCTCCACAGTCCTGCTGGAACAAGTAGACCCCTGAGTGAACTATTCGAACAAGCCTTCTTCCCTGTGGTGAGGAGCAAGGACAGAAAACTGCAAGGCCAATAGAGAATAATCGTTTCATGACAAGAGATTGAAGGTAATATAAATTAATAATAGATCAATGATGGATAACCTTTTCCAGACCGAGTGACCAAAGCTTGCACACGCAGCCCCAAAATGCAATGCGTGCATGCCCCCACATGTCTGCCCCCCACATGTGCCCCCGCATGCGTGGCAGAAACCTGAAGACCATCTGGCTGGCAGGAAGCACATGTGCATGCACGGCGGAGCTGAGCTGGGGAGACGGCTCGCATGTCCACAGAGAGGGCGCTGCATGCCACCTCTGGCACGTGTGCCATAGGTTTGTCATCACGATAATATATCATGTTACCATTCCCCTAAGGCAAAAAATAGATCTACAGGTAGCCTGGCTTACTAAATGCCTTGTTTAGTGACAGTTCAAACATATAACATACAGCAAAAGTAGATTTATGACTGGGTGTCAAAACTGCAGCCATTGTAGCATCCCCACAGTTACATGCTTGCAATTCATACACTTTGCATCTAGCCCACATTTACAATGACAGAAACTGTGATCATGTGTTCACCATTTTGCAACCTTCAGAGTCAGCTTCCAACAATCAAAGTCAGTGGGAAAACAGGCAGTAAATCACAAATTGCGGTCATGTGATGTTGCACTTAACAACCACAGGTAGTGTGCTTAACAACTGCAGTGGAACAGATGTCATTAAGTGTGTGTATCTGGGGTGAGTGTGTCATGTGATGTTTCACTTATCCACTATACTGCTTAAGGATTGAATTGTGATTATTAAGTGAGGACTGCCTCTAGTGTGTTTTGGACTGCTGCCATGAACGTCTGAGCTGTCTGCGAAACCAGGACCAGAGAAAGCAGAATTGAAATCTCTTAGGATCATAAGACTGGAGAGCTCTGTTGTCACCTCAGCCATATCTATGCAGCAGGAAGCAATAAGAGTAGCACACTCATCTGATCCCTAAAACACAGTTTCTCAGATAAAATCTCACCTCAAGTTATCTGTACAATCATCTTCTTGGAAGTCAGCAGAATCTGACAAATAACAATAGCCATTCCACCATCCTTGCCCCAGAATCATGGCCCATACCATACACCAAACTCATTGTCCAGACAGGTTTTGGTAATTCATAACAGGCTGGCTTTCTTATTCACAATTAAATCACAAACAGGCAAGCTTTATTACAGATCAACATTGCATTAGGCAACAACAAAGACAAGGCAAACAAAGACCTTGATGTTTTGAAGACCAAGCACTGGTTACTTAGTGGAATGAGGACGACTGAAATGCAGAATCATTTCAATCACCCACTTTATCTTCTCATGTCTGTTACCACTCAAATATTATCCTGAATGTTACATTTCTCTGATGCCCTTCCTCCATTAAGCTAAAGACCATCCAAACAGACCAACACATTCGTCCAAGCAGCCAGATGATCTGAAGCTTCACTTAATACCTTGGTTCCAACCTGGCATCTGCCTATCCTCTCCCCAACATCCAGATCCATTCACAGAAACTTCTCCCCTCCTTCCCATTTCCTTCTCTGGACAGGCTGCAAGGAAGAAAAACATGTTCTAAT